ACTGAAGGCGTTGGTGTGCATGGCACTGAATGAGCAGCGCCTGGTGTCCTGGGTGAACCTCATCTGCAAGTCAGGGTCTCTCATCGAGCCCCATTACCAGCCCTGGAGCTACATGGCTCACACAGGTTTTGAGAGTGCCCTCAACCTGCTCAGTCGCCTCAGCAGCCTCAAATTCAGCCTTCCTGTCGACTTGGCCGTGCGCCAACTCAAGAACATCAAAGATGCCTTTTGATGAGAATGCCTAGCCTTAGTCCCCACGCACCTTTCTCTAAAGAAATAGATGTCCTAGAATTGTAGATTAAAAGCCAGGGAGTTGGAGGAAGGGTTAGAGATAGTTTTTTAGACCCTTTTCAGGTGGTCAGCTAATGGAGGCAAAGCCTGTTTTTTTCTTAGCATTTTAGAAAGATGTGCCAGAGACTCCCATCAAAAATAGTGTTGGGGCCTGAGAGATGCTTCGCCAGGTAAAGATGCTTGCTGTCACACCTGAAGTTTGAGTGACACAAGGAGAGAGCAGAGCTCCCACTAACTGTCCTCTTACCTCCACACATGAACTGTGCCACATGTGAATCCCTGCCCAAACACAAGTAAATGTAACAATAAAACCTAAAAAATAAACAGAATCAGGACTAGAGAGAGGTCTAGCTCAGTGGTATGGTCCATGCAAAGCATGCACAGCCAGTGCTGAGGATGTTAAAAGCAAACAGAAGAAGCTGGCCTTAGCCCACCACAGTGTACCCGGCCCACTGTTGGAGCCTGTGGTAACAAAGCCAGTTACCACACAGCTAATGCCCAACTCACCGTGCCATGTCTGATTTTTAGAATATGCAGGTTGTGCCCATGCTTCTTTTCATGGCAGCCACTTGCTGTATGAGGGAGTTCCAGAAGGCACTGAACTCGAGGCTCCTGCTAGTGAGGTTGGGAACAGTCTTCCTTGATCAGAGCAGCTTTGAGAGCCCTATGGCCAGAACGTAACTGCAGCTATGAATTCTGATTCCCCTTTGTTCTGAGGGAGTTTTAAGATGAGTGTAAGATGAGAATGGAAGTCTCCCTGCTGCAGTAATCCTCACATTCAGTCAGCACTCCTCTAGTTATAAAGAATGACAGCTGATGCCCTGTACTGTTTCAGGGACATCACTTTCTTCTGTGGGCCTATCAGGACTGACAGTCTTCAGAAGAATCCTTGTCAGTCAAGAGCACACAGCACCCTGGGGTGTGACTCATTGGCACCACTTGTCCTAGAGACTGACAGGAGGTTTGGTGTCTTTCAGCGTGCACAGTGGCAAGGCCAGCATGACTCTGAAGGTAACTCCCTCATCGGTCAGCTTGCAGCGGGCACTTGCTCCAGGTCTCACTGAAGATGGGTGAACCAAACTGCCACCTGTAGTTTGATCCTGTGATGTGCACTTTACCTTGTTTCAGCAACGTGTCACTTAAGATGAATCATTGACACTTAGTGTTTCCCAAAAAGCACGACAGTGATTGGGCTTGGAATGCAGCTCAGTGGTAGAGTGCTTGCCTGGTAATCCTTAGCACCAACCCCAGGAGAAAAAAGATAATTGTAAAATATCATGAATTACGATATCTATCTCTGATTGCTAATAAAGTTTGAGTATTTTGTGTAGCTTCTCTGCAAAGCCTCTAGCTCCTCTCCACTTTCTAAGTCTCTCTAGTCCTTTCTGCCCGTGTCATCTAGGTCAGTGTTTATTTAGAAACTGTCCACTTCCTCTCTGCCCAGGATTGGGTCAGGATTGGGTGGCAGTCTAGGTTTTGTATATGTGTTGTTTTTGTCTGGTCAAATTCCCTACAAAGAGGCTTGGTCATTTTCATTCACCTTGCCCAGGCTACAGCATTGGGCACTGCAGTGAATGGCATTATACATGCTGGATCTGAAAATTGGTACCCTTAAGTCCACTCGTGAGGCTGTCAGTGTGGGGTGGATGAGAACTGGAATGACCATGTAGCACGGCCCAGATACACCTCTGTAGTGTCTTTTAACTTAAATCTGCATGTGTATGGTGAGGGCGGGGAGTGTGAGTTCCATGGCTCCTAAGCATATGTGGAGTTAGTTCTTCCATCATTACCTAAGTTTCAGGAACTGAACTCAAATCACTAGGCTGTGGGATGTGGACGAAGCATGCTAGCATGAGTGGGACAGTTCTCTGTGCTCAGTGGACCCTAGAACTGAGAGCATTCAGAATGGACTGCCACTGGGCAATAGTGGCACACGCCTTTAATCCCAGCACTTAGGAGGCAGAGGCAGGCAGATCTGAGTTCAAGGCCACCCTTGGTCTACAGAGTGAGTTCTAGAACAGCCAAGGCTACACAGAGAAACCCTGTCTCAAAAAAAACAAAACAAGAAGGCATGTTCTAAATCTTCTGGAAGAGCAGTGGGAGCTCTAAACTGTAGCACTCCAGCTTCTTGGGTTTTGTTTTTTTTGTGTGTTTTTAAGCCAGAGTCTTTCTATGTTGTCCTAGAGCTCCTATGTAGACCAGGCTGGCCTTGAACTCAGAGATCCTCCTGCCTCTGTATATAGCAGGCCTGTGCGACCAGGAGGCCTTCTTTTGTTTCTGAGGTAGTCTTCTATAGCCTATTCTGGTCTTGAACTGGTTGTGTGGCTGAGGATGACCTTGAACCTCTCTGACCCTCCTCTTACCACCTCCTGTTGAGATTAGTCAGGGGCCACCACTCTGGACACAGATCCTTTTGTTGAGCTACATAATAGTGTGTCAAAGACATCTCCTTTACTTTCATTTTTGCTTGCTCTAGTGCTTCACACTTGGTGTTCTCCAGTGCAGCAGGCCTGGGGTGACACTTGTCAGGAGGCAGCTTTCAGGAGGCTCACACTGAGCACCATGGAAGCCATGATGTATAGGGAATTTGATGTGCAGACAGACATCAAGCCAGGCAGGTGGAAGAGGCCAAACATCAGAGTTGGCTGCTCTTTGATAAAGAGTCCATTCAAAACTGGTGGGTAAGGGCTGGGAGACATCACAGTGCTTAAGAGCGCTGGCTGCTTCCAGAGATACCTAGGTTCAATTCCCAGCACCCACATGTGGCTACCAACCATATGTAACTGCAGTATCAGGGAATCTGATGCCCTTTTCTGGCCTACATGCAGGCATGAATGAGGTGCACAGGCATACATTTAGGCAAAACACCACACACATAAAATTGTTTTTAAAAGTTTTAAAATGGCTGGGCAGTGGTGGCGCACGCCTTTAATCCCAGCACTTGGGAGGCAGAGGCAGGTGGATTTCTGAGTTGGAGGCCAGCCTGGTCTACAGAGTGAGCTCCAGGACAGCCCGGGCTACACAGAGAAACCCTGTCTCAAAAAAAAAAAAAAAGTTTTAAAATGTTTTAAAAAACTGGTAGGTAGGAGAGAGCCTGGTGAAATGGATTCTAGAATTGGTAGGTGAGGGAACCTGGTCTGTTCATCACCTTGGAAAATGCTTCCTCCTGCTTCAGAAAGTACTTTAATTGTAGCCAGGCATGATGGCCCATGACTGGAGTCACAGATGGAAGAGGCTGAGGCAGGAGGATTGCTATGAGTTCAAGTGCAGCTTGGGGTATACAGTTTAAAAAAAATATGAAACCATTTTTATTGGATATAGAAATGTAAGTATAATTCAGATGTGGTTGTAGGACTCACAAGGCCGAGGCAGGAGGATCCTGAAAGCTGGATTCCAGCCTAGGCTATAATGTGACTTCCAAGCCAGTTTTAGCTACAGAGTAAGACCTTGTCTCAGGAATTAGTTAGTGCTACCAAGTGGCTTAGAGGTGGAGAGCACTTACTGCTCTTCAGAGAAGCCCAGTTCTCTTCCTAGTAACCACAGCTAATGGTTCACCACAGCCTAAGTCCAGGAGATCTACGCCTGTGGCCTCTGTGGGCACCATATTCTCACACATACCCACATGTCAACATGCACATACACGTAAAATCAATCCTTTAAAATGAATTGAAAAATATCGAAGCTGGGTGGTGGTGGCACACGCCTTTAATCCCAGCACTTGGGAGGCAGAGGCAGGCGGATTTCTGAGTTCGAGGCCAGCCTGGTCTACAGAATGAGTTCCAGGACAGCCAGGACTACACAGAGAAACCCTGTCTTGAAAAACCAAAAAAAAAGAAAAAAGAAAAGAAAAATATTGAAGTAATAACAAATAGGGGCTGGAGAGATGGTGCTTGGAGCAGTTTCTGCTCTTGCAGAAGATCTGCAGAGAACCCAGGTTCAAGTCCCAGCACCCACATAGTGACTCTCAATCATCTGTTACACCAGTTCCAGGGCATCCAACACTTTTCCTCTGGCCTCTTTAGATACTAGGCACTCACCTTGATGCATATACATACATGCAGGCAAAAAGGTAAAATACTCATACAGAAAAATAAAAATCTTAATATACATATATTTATATATACATATTTTTAAAATATAGTTATATACGTATGTATACATATATATGAAAATATGTATGTCTGAGCTTCCCCATTTTTCACCTAACAGTGCACGAAGTCATTTTGTTTCCTATGTATAATAATTTTAAATTTTGAGTTAAAATAAGTTTTAATCTATTTACCTATTGAAGACAGGGTCTATGTAACTTACGTTGGCCTGGAACTCCTGTCTCAGCCCCTCAAATGTTGGGATTACAAGCTTGTGCTGCATCCCGCCCCCACTCTGACCCCCACAAAGCCTGGCTCTATTTTCCAAACCAAAACTGTAAATTTCAGACTCTGTGCCCCTCCTAGCGGCAGAGCAGGAGACTACAACAATGAAGGCGACATCGTCCTCCTTGCCCCTCCCTCCACACGCCGGAACCGGAACTCTCTGTTCCTGTCTGCTGCTCCTGCTGCTAATAAAGTTTGTTTCAAACAAACGCGCTGCCCGACCCGCCCTGACGAGCTCCTTCCGCCAGCAACTTTGACCACCAACCGCGCGGCAGGGCTGGGCCTGAGAGGCGGGACAGGAAGTGAAGCCACCTCTCCGTAAGGTGAAAGGTTAGCGGAAGTGGCCTTCTTTCCTTTCTGCTGGGTTGCCCGCTCCTTGCTGTAGGTGAGTAGGGCTCGGAGAGGGTCTTGAAATCCGCCGCCATCGCGACTCCGCTGTCGGGTTGCCGAGCTCGTTTGGACTCTAAGCCTCTGGTGGCTTCACGGCGAGTCGCATCCCTCGAGCAGAACCTCCGGGCTGCGTGGCCTAGTCGGCAGCGAGTGATCTAAAGTCGCGGGCCTACGGCCCGGGCTCGCATGTAGAAGTCGGCTCCGGGGCCTTCCGCTTAACAAACATCTGAGCGGCTCCTTGTCTTTGTCCTCTGCAGAAATGGGCAAGTTCATGAAACCCGGGAAGGTGGTGCTGGTCCTGGCTGGACGCTACTCCGGACGCAAAGCCGTCATCGTGAAGGTACCAGACCTCCGGGGCTCTTGTGACTGCTTGCATGTGGGGATTTCGGCTGCTGTGTAAGATGAGCCAGATCAGAATTTTAAATCTGTCCTAGCAATAAGTACTGGTGAATGCGTAATGGGTATTAATGGTGGCCACTGTGTATTAAAGATATTACAGCTGTGGTGTGTAATGCAGAAACCTAAGTCCTAAGTAACATAATTTCAGACACTTAAGGTTTAGAGGTGTTAAGTTACTTAAGGTCAGAGTTATGAGTAGGATGGAAGAGTACTGCCACTTCTATAGCATCCCCTGGGTGTATTTAAGCTTTTTGCTACTTGCTGCTTGCCCAGTTTTAACTCTTGTAGGCCTAGCCACAAGGCCACTCACTGGCTTTGCTGTTGAGGACACCGGCCTCCCCAGCTTCTTGCTCCTGTCATTTATCTAAAACAAATTAGGCCGCCAGCTTTGTAATCTCAGCTCTACCTTAGCTAGCTTCATGGAGGAAGGTATTAGGTGGCACCTAGCATCACTCTAAGTGTTAGCTTCTGATGGACTTCTAACAGTCCTGTTGACTCAGAGGACTGAGTGTCCTCTACAACGATCTAGAGATGTGTAGCATGGAGGGTGTATTTAATAAACACAGTATTACTAATACGGGGCCAAAGCAGTGATTCCCCACTCCCTCTTTTCTCATTCAGAACATTGATGATGGCACCTCAGACCGGCCTTACAGCCATGCCCTGGTGGCTGGGATTGACCGCTATCCCCGAAAAGTGACAGCTGCCATGGGCAAGAAGAAAATCGCCAAGCGATCCAAGATCAAATCCTTTGTGAAAGTGTATAACTACAACCACCTCATGCCGACCAGGTGAGCCATCCAGAAATCGCTCATATCCTCCCTGAGAGGAGGCAGCTGTGGTTCAAGGCCATCAGATCCCCTTTCCCCTCTGCCTCTGGATCCTCCTCCCTCGGTCTTGAGGATGCTAAGCTTGTGTAGCAGTGCACTACCCAGCATTTGTAAGACCTTGGGATTGACTGCAATGCTGTTGGGGCAGGGTAGGAGACTTGATAGAGTCTGTAGTTCATTTTGTCTCCTTGGTTGCCATCTTCTATTTTTTGTCTTTTAGCACAAAGCTATCCTCACATTTGGAATCCTGCGTTCTGGGTTTCAGGTGTGAGCATCCTGTCTCAGGTTCCTTCTTTTGTTTTCTGTTCTCCAGCTTGATTATTATTGAATTTTTTTTAATTATATGTAGATTGCTGGATTTGTCTTCGAGGGTATACAGGGAGAGAGTCTTGTCTGCTTTCTCTCACCTTTGTACAAGATGATTTTCTTCCTGTCTTTTTTTTTTTCCCCCTCGGGACAGAGTTTACAGGGTTTCTCTGTATAGCCCTGGCTGTCCTGGAACTCACTCTGAAGACCAGGCTGGCCTCAAACTCAGAAATCCGCCTGCCTCTGCCTCCCAAGTGCTGGGATTAAAGGCGTGCACCACCACCACCCGGCACAAGATGATTTTCTTTGGACTGTGAGACAGCTTAGGGCCTGCTGTTGGTGACCAGAGTTCAATCCCTTGAACCCTTGTAAGGGTGGAATGAGAGGGCTCCAGACTGTTTTGTTTTGAACCAGGATAGAGAGACAGCTTAGTCATTAGGATACTTATTTTTGTGGAGCAGCTGAGTTTAATTTCCAGAACCTGACAATGTTAATGCCTCCAAGCTGCCTATACTCTTGTCTCCAGGAGATCAGGCACCCTTTTCTGATCCAGGGGGAACCTGTACTTGTGTGCACAGAAATACATAATTAGGAGGTTTTTTTCCACATAAGTTCTAGGCTAGCCAGGGCTAGCTTGGACTAAGTAGTCCACCTGCCTCTGTGGAGTGCTGGGATTAAAGGGATTCAGAACCACTGCTCAGGCTTTTTTGCTTGGTTGATTGTGGTTTTTGTTTTGGTGGTGGTTTGTGTATGTAGATGTTTGCCTATGTGTATGACCACCACATTGGTGCTGAGAATTGATTCTAGGTGCTGACTGTTGACTACTATCTCTTTAAGCACCTCCTTCCCCCTCCCCAAAATTTTCTTTACAGACAAGGTGGGCATTTCACAGGCTGAGGCAGGTGGATCTTCCAGCTAGAGCTGTATAGTGACAGGTCTTTAGAACGAGCTCTCTTGGTCCAGGTGTAATAGAGACTGTGGGAATTAAAAAGTCCTGAACTAGATCTCACCGTGTGTCCTTGAGATTTGTTGCTGGGGCTGTCATACTCAGCGTCTTACTAGTTTGCTCAGGCTAGTCTGAGAAATCACCTCAGTCTCTGGGGTGCTGGTGTTACAGGTGTGTTCCACACCTAGCTAAGAAAAATCCAGCTGGAGATAGCCAGCTGTTGTATTGAAAGTAAGGTCTGGTGTGATGAATCTCACCTCTTAAATGGAGTTTCAGAAATTAGAGGACAAAACGAGAATTTCTAAGGAATTACATGCAGGTGTAGCGTAGCTTCTGTGGGCATTTCTGGCTGTGAGCTGAGGGCTTGTATCCTGACCATACCAGGTCTCTTGAGGAACTGGCTTCCTGGTGTCCGTAGCTAATCTTGCCTCTGCACTGTCAACCCAGGTACTCTGTTGATATCCCCTTGGACAAGACTGTTGTCAACAAGGATGTGTTCAGGGACCCAGCTTTGAAACGCAAGGCCAGGCGGGAGGCCAAGGTCAAGTTTGAGGAGCGGTAAGAGGGTCCTGTGTTTGTTGACTACAGTTACTGCTTCCTGTCAAAGAATTTGTTTTCCTGTTTATTTTTTTCCTATGTGTCATTTGTTTACTTTTTCCTTTCTAGATACAAGACGGGAAAGAACAAATGGTTTTTCCAGAAGCTTCGCTTTTAGGTTTATTTTTGTTTTTGTCATTAAAAATTAAAAAAACAAAAACAAGTGTCTGCCTGTTTGTATGGGAAAGAGACTGGGGAGGTGAGCCAGGTGTGCTGTTGTGAGTCCTGAACCTTAGCTTGGTACCTCTCTGATGGCTTGACAGCCTCCTTGAAGAAAGTGAACATTTACCCACAAGCTGCTTCTGGATAAACAGGCGTCCTCAGAAGCAGGGAGGGGTGAGGCTCAGCACTGCCTCCCGTTTGGACCTCATTCTAGTGACACAGGCTGAGGCAGGTAGATCTTCCAGCCAGAGCTGTATAGTGACAGGTCTCTTGGTCCAGGGGTAATAAAGAGACTGGGAATAGAGAAGTCCTGAACTAGATGTCCTGGGACTCAGCAGCATGTGTCCTCAAGATTTGTTGCTGGGGCTGTCATACTCAGGCTGAGGCTCAGGCTAGTCTGAGTTCTCACCTCAGCCTCTGGGGTCCTTGACAACACTACAGGAAAAGAAATAAAGCAGAGGTTAAAATTATCCCAGCACTCTAGAGGCTGGCAGATGTTTGTGACCAGCCTGGTCTACATGGTAAGTTCCAGACAGCCAGGGTGACAACAGACTGTTTTGAAGCCACTCCTGCCCCTCACCAGACAGTACTCTGGCGGGCAGGTGGATCTCTTGAGGTTAAGGCCAGCCAGTGTTGCATTGTGGCGCCATGTCAGAAGCATAACACCTCAGGTGCTGGCTAGTACAGGGTTAAGCTTTGTCCAGGATATTGCGTTGTCATAGCTTGTCAGTGCTAACAGACTAGAGGAAGATCCATTAAGAAAAATCCTGGGGATAGGGACACCAGCAGCTCAACAGAAGTCCTATGCTCATACTACACAATGGTGCATGGGTTCCCATGCAATAAAACTTTAAGATTTATGTGAGTATACTATCTTCAGACACACCAGAAGATGGTATAGGTTCCCACTACAGATAGTTGTGAGCCACAATGTGGTTGCTGGGAATTGAACTCAGGACCTCTGGAAAAGCAGTCAGTGCTCTCAACCACTAAGCCATCTCCAGCCCCATGATGTGATTTTATTTTGGCCTGCATGTATGTCTGTGAGGGTGTCAAATCATGGAGTTAGAGTTGTGACGGGCTATGTGGATACTGGGAGTTGAACCTGGGTCCTCTGGGAGAAGAGTTCGTACTCAACTGCTGAGCCCTTTATTTTTGGTTTTTGAAGACAGAGATCCTCTGTATGTAGCTGTGGCTGCTCTGAAAATCACTCTAAACTAGGCATGACTGGTCACAGATCCACCTCCTATTTGAATGCTGGGATCGAAGAAGTGCCACCATCACCGACTCATTTCTTTAATCACAGCCTTCTGGAGGCAAAAGCAGACAGGTCTCAGAGTTCGAAATCAGCTAGAGCTACCTTACTAAGAGCCTGTCTGTCTTAAGAAGGGCTAGGGAATCCTACCAATTGGTTTATGCTAGAATCAACTGCCTGGGAAAGTTAGTTGGGGCCAGTATTCCCTTTGCAGTCCCAGGAGACATGCCTGACTGGGTAGTTAGATTTGATGACTTGGGAGGCTCCTCCCAAGGGTGTGGCTGTATGCTCAGAGGCAGAATTAACAGAAACGAAAGTGGAAGTGAAGCCTGCAGGCAACAGCAGTGGAAGTGTGTCTCAGATGCCGCTGGAGGCTGAGGAGACCCAAGCCACCTCTGAGGGTTCAAGCGAAGAGTTTAGACCTTCAGAACTCTCCACTTCCAACCCTGCCCTGAAGCCTCAGCTTCTGTCAGCCAGACGTGAGAACCATGTCTTTGACCCTGCAAGCTGTAAGTAAGGGAGCAGGAAAGTGTGTTTGCCGAGCGTGGGGGTGATACAGAGTGTTCTAGGCTGAGAACTGCTCAGCTTGGGCCTGCTAAGTCCTGGAGAGAGGTAGAGAGCTTAGGGTGCCTTGGCCTGTGGAGCTGCTCATTTACCTACTGCCTCAAAAATCAGGACTCTCTCACCTCAAGTCAGGATCTTGATAATTCTTTATGTGGATATATGTTTTGGGTTTGTAGAGAGCTGTGAACATCAAAGACTTCTGGCTATTCTTACACCAAAGGGAATGCTCTGAGGTACTTCCCAGCCAAGAACTCCTCTTAGATTGCCACATCAACCTGACCATTGGTCCTCTCTGGGACAGGTGGTCTCCTCTCAAGTGCCTTTGACTGAGGCCACCTCGGATAGGCTAGGTTGAGCTGTGAACTCTGCCTGCCAGCAGCCTGTGAGACCTCAGGAGCAAGCACAGTGGGCAGCCAGCTGTGAGGAGGGACCCAATGCAGCTTGTCCTCAACAGTTCTCTGTCGCTGTGGATACTTCCAGTATCCACATAGCCTGTTAGTTCTCTGGCACGGAAAACTTCCATTAGCCTCCCAGATCACAATTTAAAACGGAGCTATTTGGAGCCAAATAAGGAAAAGGAGCGATAAAGAGAAAACCTGCCTGGTTTCAGATCCTAGTTTCTTCAGACATGTTGCACTGGACCTAACAGCCTTTCTAAAGTTTACAGTCTAATCCCCATTTCTTCACTTACTATATAGGGGTATTGAATTTCTTCACAAGAATACCTAGAGGGACAGCTAGGTAGCTAGCTCAGTCTGTAAACTGTTTACCTTAAGACTATGAGAAGAAGGATGGTTAAGAGCACTAACTGCTCTGCCTGAGGTCCTGAGTTCAATCCCCAGCAACCACATCTAATGGGATCCGATGCCCTCTTCTGGTGTGTCTGAAGAGAGTGATGGTGTACTCACATGCATAAAATAAACAACTATTTAAAAAAAACTGAATATGAGAAGAAATTCAGTCCTTAAGAACTGAGATAACAAAACAACAACCAACAACAACAAAAATAGCACAGTGGCATGTGTTTGTAATCCTAGCAGTGGGGACAAAAAGATAAGCACATCCCTTGATTTGTTGGTGAACCATCCAGCCCTACTGGACAGCTCCAGGTTAGTGAGTGAGAGACCCTGCCTTGAAAAGCACAGTAAGTAGTAGCCTGGAGAGACGGCTCCGCAGTTCAGAGTATGTGTTGCTATAGCAGAGAACCTGGCTTTAGTTCCCGCCACCAGCCTGTTGGCTAACAACCATCCATAACCATAGTTCTAGTTTCTGGAGATCCAATGCCATCTTCTGGCCTCTCCGGGCACCAGGCACGCATTTGGTACACTGACAAACATGCCAGCAAAACACCCATAAATGTAAAACAATTTAAAAAAAAAACTTTTTTTTTTTAAATCCTGGCAACTCTGCTAGAGAGATGGCTCAGTGGTTAACAGCACTGATTATTCTTCCAGAAGAACAGTGTTCCATTCCTAGCACTTACCTGGAGCCCAACAACCTTTGGTAACTCTATCTCTAGGGGAATCTGGTACCCTTTTCTGGCCCCCTCTGGTACTGCATGCATATGGTACACAGGCATACACACAGGCAAAACACCCATACACATTTTTTAAAAAGGGTTCAGGGAGGAGGTGTGGAATGTGAAACAGTCGAAGGGTGAACCAGGAGGGGGATAAAGTCTGGACTAAAGAAAAAATAAATAAAAATAAAATAAAATGGTTCTGGTAACTGGCATAGGTCCTCTGCAAGAACAGCAAGTGTTTGTAACTGTTGAGCCATCTCTGCAGCTTTTTGTTTTGTTTGTTTAATTGCTTTAGAGCCGGGCAGTGGTGGCACACACCTTTATTCCTAGCACTTGAGAGGCAGAGGCAGGTGGATCTCTGAGTTCAAGGCCAACCTGGTCTACAGAGTTCCAGCACAGCCAGGGCTGCACAGAGAAACCCTGTCTCAGCCAAAAAAAATAAACAATAACAATAAATTTGTTTTAGATTAACTTTTCTGAAAGATTTTTTAAAAATATTTATTTATTTATTTATTATGAATATACTGTAGCTGTCTTCAGACACACCAGAAGAGGGCATCAGATCTCATTACAGATGGTTGTGAGCCCATGTGGTTGCTGGGATTTGAACTCAGGACCTCTGGAAGTACAGTCAGTGCTCTTAACCACTGAGCCATCTCTCCAGCCCAACTTTTCTGAAAGATTTATTTTTATCTTTTATCATTATGTGGGTGTCTTGCCTGTGTGTATGTCTGTAGGCCACTTGCATGCCCTGGAGCTATGGAGGATAAAGGAGGGCATTAGATTACCTGGATCTGGAGTTACGTTACGTTAGATGGTTGTGATCACCACATGGGGACTAGGAATTAAACCCATGTTTAATTCCCTACATTTAAACCCTCTACAAGATCAGCCAGAGCTCTTTACTGCTAAGCCATGTCTCTAGCCCCAGATTATTTATCCTAGTTTATGTGTATAAGTGTTTTGCCTAAATGTATGTATGTGTAGCATGGAACCCTCAGAGGTCAGAAGAAGATATTGGATTTCCCCCCAAGGATGGTCGTGAGCCAACGTGTGGGTAGGTGGTGGGAACCAAATCTGAGTTCTCTGCAAGAGTAGTCGATGCTCTTAACTGCTGAGTCATCTCTCCAGTCTGCTAATAATGGCTAATAATGTGTCTTTTAATCACTTCATAATCTTTATTACTCTCTGTGTGTGTGTGTGTGTGTGTGTGTGTGTGTGTGTGTGTGTGTGTGTAGTGTCTGAGTGTCTGAGCACACTTGCCATGGTGAGCATGTGTCAGTCACAGGACAACTTTCTGGAACTTCTCTCCTCCCACCATGAGATCTGGGGGTCACACTCAAGTCATCAGTCTTGTATGTCTTGTGCTTTTATCACCAGCAGCTTCCCCCACTCCCCATTTTAGTCTAATGCCCTTTACCCAGCAGGCAGGGGAAGTGGATCCGTGGCTACTGAGAGCCTACCTACCTATGTGTCGGGTACAGATGGGACTCTCATTCAAGTATCACAAAATCACCTCCTAGGCTGGGGTGTAGCTCTGGGATAGAGCCTGTGCTTAACATAAGTCTTTGCTTCTGTCCCCAACACAGATTGGGAGTGGAGGGGGGAGGCGAGGGGAGACAGATCACAGTTTAGCAACTTGGGCTTTTGGATTAAG